GAGAACGGTGGCTTTTCGTATGGGGGACAATTGCGATTGTAACCCCCAGTGTTGTCAGCCTCTAAAAGCTTATGTTTGTGCCAAATTTATGCGGAAAAAAATATTTACCAGCGAATTCGTATACACCAGTTTGATACTCTCTTATTACTTTGCTTTAAAAGCAGGTTCTCAACTCTACATATTCATAGGTTTTGTAGGTCTTAAACATTGTTTTTATTTAACATGCGAGTGTGAAGACGGAAATCTAATACTTATAAGCCCTAATATAAGTTTTAACATAAAAATAATTTTTTTAAAAAAAAATCTTTTTCAAAATTGACTGTAAAACGGTTTTCAAAGTATAGATACTGTGAACTCAAAATATTTTATTCAAATTTCTTTTTAAAATATCTAGTATCTGTACATCTATAAAACACATTTCCAAGTACATATAGGTATAAACATAGGTATATATATAACTGGCGGAAAAATAGCTAAATAGACAACACTCTGGCACTATCCCCCTCCCACTCCCACTTACGCTCAACAAGCTGGCGGCCAAAAGAACGGATTGCAAATTCCCGTGCGAATTCAGTTTGTTTATTGGGGAATTACTCAAATTATACTTAATATTTTTCACTATTTTTATTTGTTGTTATTCTTTGGTTTTTTTTTTTTGCCTTTTGTTTTTTGCGTGCCACGCACACCCACACACCAAAAGCGTCAACTGAAAATGAATTTTTTCCGCTTTACACAGCGCACAAAAACGCCGAGATACGCCGACTTCTACGTCGACGTCGACAGAGCAGATATTAATGGAAAAAGAAGCACAAAATATATGTGTATATATACATATATATAAATATAAAGGAAAACAAGAAAATGAGCAGTGCGAAATGTAGCAGGTGGAATTGCAAATACCCTGCAATTTTTCTAAACATTCTGGTTTTTTCTTAGTATTTTAAGATGGCATAACATTTAAAAAAAAACTTCCGACTAATATGACAAAAATCTTTAAAGTTTTGAAATAATATAAATGCTAAAATAAGAACCATGAGCAAACTTGTTTTCTGGAAATAAATTGGGGAAACCTACAATAAATTCAATTTTATAACTGCATCTTTTATACAAACAAATTAGAAACTTAAATAAAAATTTAAATTTCGAAAAAGAAATTATAACAAAGTAAAAAAAATTTTCCAACATCCCTAGTGTTCGAACTCATTTTTGTGTTCAAATTTAGAAAAAGGGTATTCCGCAGATTCGACATGACCCGTTCTAAATTTTATTTATATTTTTTTTTGCAATTCTCTGTTGCATGATGGAAAAAGAAAGGCAACAAGAACATGCAAAGAAACGGCGAAATAAGAAGCGAAGAAGAAAAAGCAGCAGCTATGAATGTGCAGTAAGTATGTATGTATTTATGTATTCCTTTTGTGAGTGGGGGAGTAGTAAAAAAAAAGAGAAAATAGCACAACAATAATAAACAAGTGCAGTAGAAGGAGCAGGAGTCGAATTCCCTGGGGAGTGCCCCCAAAGGAGATGGGGCCCTTAAGCCCCCGTAATTGGAATACATCGAAAGGGGCTCACAATGCATGCAGTAATTATCAAATTTAAATTCATATTTTATAAGGTAATTTCATTAATTGGAGTATTAGAATAACTGTCTGTTGCTAAAAGCTTTAGTTCGTATTCCAAAAAATTATGCACTTATAATAGATCTACATAGAAGGTAATGTTTAGCAAACTTAATATGGGAAATTAGGTGGAAGTAATTTAGTAAAATTAGATGAAATAATCTTTTGAACCTAATAATTGTTCGAGTAATACAATTCTTGCTAATTATAAAATCAAAATTTAGGTCAAGCAGCAGTGCCAATACATATGTATTTACATATGTGGAAGTTACAATAAGATCTCGGCAAAATTCTATACGAAACCTAGTCAAAATAAAATTGCAGGCAGTTAATAAAACCCTATCTTCGAGTAACAGGTAAAATAAATATTCTAAATTTGGTATTTGCAAATCAAAAACTTTAGGAACAGTTTTTAATTGAGTATTCTAGTATCTATTTATCTTTATCTTCCTATACCTCAATCATTTTTAACACTATCCTGAAGGACTTAACTATGACATGTTCAACACTGTATTTTCTCTAGCTTCCTGACTATGCACTTGTCTAAATTAATGATTTTCTAAACACTGTCTTCGCTGTATCTGCCTTGCCATGACATGTTCAACACTGTTTATTGTATGTTTCGACCCTCTCCAACTCTTTGAAGCACGACTTTCTCCACACTTTATTTACTGCACACTGCCATGCTCAAGAAAGGACTTACGTCTTCGGAGTCGTCCTGCGACTGTAGGTTCTCGGAAGAACTGGATGATTGCATTTGCTGTTGCTGCTGCTGCTGCTGCTGTTGCGAGTTTGGATGCTGCTGCTGCGGGTTCTGGTGCTGCTGCGCGATGGCGTCGCTGTCGCTGGAGGAGGCCGTCGATGAGGAGGTGGCCGCCGCCGCTGCGGAGGCGGCGACTGCGGCCGAGGCAGAGGCAGCGACGGCGGCAGCGGCTGCCGCCGACTGATGGAAGTTGGAATTATTTGTCAACTGCTCCGAGCAGCGGACGCACGTGGGTATGCTATAGCCGGGCACTTGGAATAACTGTAAGACAGGACGACAGGAATACGAATTAATATGCGTTTCCAATTGGAGTTTTTGATCGAGAGAAGAAATGCTCTTTACTTATTGTGGCAACTCAACCTCATTTCATCTCACCCCCTTCTGCCTATCCCTTTCTCTTTTCCACCAACTAGAAATAACAGACAAGAAGATAAACACACACACACGCACACATGGAGAACGAAAAAGAAAGAAATGAAACTACAAAAACAGCAACAACAGCGTGTTGTTGTTTTCATTTCATGTTTTTTTTTTCTTTGGTACAACGTTTTGTTATTCTTTCGCTTTTTGTTTTGTTTTGTCCGCCGCTCTGCCAGCAATCGAGGCAGAGGCGTCCACGCAAAAAGGGGTATTTTTGAGTAATTTACTTAAAGACATTGATAAACAATTATTTTGGTATTTATATTTTAGATAATATATGTATATGTATTGCTGTTAAATTTTTATCGTTTTACTTATTTTGCCCTTTTTTGACAGTCAAATTTCTTAAAACCACTGAAAGCTAAAATTATCAGTAATATCATTTCGAGTAAAAGTTCCAAATTCTTAAGACCCAGAATATTTAATAACATTATATCTCATTTATCGAAACCCCTTGAAACTAAGCCCCCGTGCAGCCACTGACGTTTGGCTGCCTTGGCGCAATTTCTGTCATTTTGTTTTATTATGTATTTCTTTTTGTGCGCTTCATGGAAGGCGGAGGGCGCGGAGGGGCCGAAAAGGGGGACTCGAAGGGGCAGGGGCAGGGAAGGTTGAAAAGGAGTCAAAGTGAAAAGCGAGCGGCAAGCGTAAGCAAAATGTAAAAATAATATTTTTTCAAGTTGTCGGCTTGAACAACTTTCGGGCTGAGTTGGCTAAAAATAAAAATTGTTCAGCAATAGTTTGGGGTCGCATATGTGAGTGAGTGAGTGTGTGTGTGTGTATTTGTTATTTCAATGTGTGTATGGGAAAGGGGGGCAATGCGCGCGCTTTTCAACCCCCACCCCCTCCGCCCCTTGCGCACAATAACAGTAGCGCAAATTCAATTGTTTAAACTCCCAAAAAAAAAATCTAGAAAAAAATCAATAGAAATAACAAAGTGTATATACCTAAATCATATGTGTATATATCATATTTTTTTCCTGCTAACATACCGTTGCCGTTTGGAAGCACAATCTACAGATGGTGTCCATTATAACCGTAAATCGGGAAGAAGCCGAAAAGGAGGTGGAGAAGGAAGAATATGCACTTTGTTGTTGTTGTTGCTCCGAGTCCCCCCTGCAGTCGTTGTTGTTGTTGTTATTGTGGTCCTTCTCCCTCGCAGTTTACCGCTATCTTTACCGGTTAGCATTCAGCTCCTACTTTTTTTCTCTTCTATTATTTTGTTCGGTTTTTTTTGTATTTTTTTTGTTTTATACAATTTGTTAGAACTAAGCAATCGGTTTGTTCGAATTATTTTTTGTTATTTGTATTGGCCTTTTAATTTCGATGATCACTTTAAGGCATTCAATAATGGCAAAAACAAAAAAAATTATATATAAATTTGATTTATACAATATTTTCGTTGTACACACACACACGCGCGTTGTTTATGTTTGCCTTGCACTTGCACAAACACACATATATGCGGCGCTCTTGTTGTTGTTGCTGCGCCGATTTTCTCCTTTTTTTGCTGCTTAATTCCTTTGCCCTTTTTTTTTGGCGTAGTTACACGTGAAAAAAAAACAAACTAGCGCGTTCGAATGCGTTTTTTTTGTATTTTACAATTCACGACGAAGTAGTGTCCGTCGTCTTTTTTTTTTGGGGCCCGATGTTATTGTTGCGCAGTGTGCGTGTGCCGTGTGTGTGTATGTGTGGGGGAAAAACGAATACGAGTAGATTGCGCGGTTGGTATAGTGGTGCTGCTCTAACGCACAGGTTGTCATATGAATGGTGCTCCCCAACTGTCTTATCGATATTTCAATCGATACTTGTGCTCGAAAGCAAAGCGGAAAAGGTAATCGTTTTCAAATAATGCAAATCGAATAGTTATTTGCTTATAAAAATGGAGTTTATAGTTGCGAATCTATGTAAACATAAGCAAATTAAACTCAATTTATTGTTATAATAAGTTTTCTTTGTCAAATTTGCTTTGCTTAACATTAGCTGGGATTACGCGCCAAAGTTTTCAAAAAAGAGTTTTATTAATGGTTATAAGTTTTTTTTTGATATTTTAAACCTTTTATTTTTTTAAATTAGTTTTTATTTCAATAATTTTTTCACAGATTTTACACGTAGCTTATTTTAACAATAAAAATATAATCATTAAACTTACTTAATGATTTTGGTTTTACGGAATAATAAAAAACAACATATTTTCACAGATTTTTTTTCAATTTGTAATAAAATTTGAAAATGACAAACAAACGAAACTCACAATAATTATCCATAATAAAGTAAAGGGTGACTATATATTATAAATACTTAAAGTGGATTGACTTCATGAAATACGGCTTATAAAGCCACAAATACACAAACTAAATATTATGAATTTTAAAATTAAATGGCTCATATCCAGAACGACGCAATTTAAATACAGTAGACAAAGGTCCAGAAAATCAAGTTAAAGGCCAGGAAGGACAGGGGGAATACGAATCTAGCCCGGCTATCTATCCACATGGCGATTTCCTGTGGCGTTAGTGTGGTCCAGCCACTCAGGTCGATCTCCTCCTGGTGCGATCCGCTTTCGGGTCGATTATTGTTGGTCAAAGTCTGAGTGCTGGTTGCTGCACTTATGGCTCCCGTGGACCCGGCTGTTCCCATTGAGCCAAAGGCACTCTCCACGAAGTTAACATCCATCTTCTGAATTTCTCCCCTGGTTCTCTGCTGATCCAGAACTTGTCCCTCCTTAATTGTGGTGATTGGCAGATTGACGGTTAGGTAGTTATTAAAGCTAGCACCGCCCAGGGAGCCAGTGTCGGCGGCCTTTTGCAGAGCAGTTCCCGAAAACGATTTAGATCTGGCGTGACTGCGACGCCTCAGCAGGTTCGGTGATAGGGTGGACTTCAGGATGTGTTTACTATTCAGTTTCTTGACAGGCACACTCTTCTTCCGCCGCCAAATCGTGTTCACAAAGGCAAACTCCACCATGCTGCCAAATATGAAGATGGTGCAGCCCAAAAACCAAACCTCCGACACCTTGATATAGCTCACTTTCGGCAGCGTTTTGCCCTGAGCCGAGGCCAGGGTTATAAAGGTCAGCAGAGTGCTGGTGCCCAGCGTGATTCTCGGCGGAGCCTGGTCCGCCTGCAGCCAGAAGGATACCCAGGAAATGGCCACAATCAGCATGGAGGGCAGGAAGTAGTCCATCAAATAGAAGCCCACCACGCGAGTCAGATGAACGGTGAAGCTGAGGGAGCTGTAGTTCCCGGCAAAGGCTCCGTGTCGCAGGTCACTCAAGTCGGCATTGATCACCGTCTCATTCGACCAGGATCGCTGCAGCACAAATTCGGTGAGATGCAATGCTCCATCGTAGGTTATCGGACGCTTCTGCTCCCAGTGGAGCACCAGTTCCGAGGTATTGTACATCCAGCTCTCGAGAACCGTGGAGCAGTGCTGCTCGTCGAATGGGAATTTCTTCAGGTTGAGCCAGCAGTAGAGTGTGGCTTTAATTCGGTTCGAGACGATCACGGTGCCATCGGGGGAAATCGAGGTGAGGATGTCCTTCTCCGTGAGACCTGCGAAATATGGCGATTAGTAGGGATTTGTTAAATAGTTTAAGGTGATTATATGGTAAAAGGCGTCTTTAAAGTGGAGATCTTACAAACTATTGCTTATAATAGAACACAAAATAAAAACCAACCAAGTTTTCCTGATAACAGAAGGCTATAAAACTTGGGATTTCTACAGTTTGGGTTTTAGTTCTCCAGTACTCACCCAAAATACTGGAATCCCGCTCGTTGGCCAGAAATATGTGGGGCATCCAGAGGGAGTCCCTCAGCTGTTGTTCCCCCAAAATCGGTTGTCTTCTCTTGGGACTTACGTTCCGGAAATTCAGACGCGGATCAAGATATCGCATTTGCAGGAGGGCATAGATCTTAAACTGCAGATCGTGTGCCTCAAGATTTTGCATGAAGTAGATATAGGCGCGCATGTAGACGTCCACAGGTAATCTCTGACCGGATTCCGAATAGGTAATGGGTCGTTCCAATCGGTCGTATCGGCAGCCATGGGTTAAACGGTCCAGTAATTGAGTCTGCGACATACTATCCCCATCGGCCAACGTGGGACAATCCTCGTCCAGCGCGTATGCATATAGACAATTGATAAGGATCGATATGATGAGCGACCAGTCCATTATCCCATACGATTTATAAAAAATATACAAAACAATACAAACTTAAAATTAAAACCACGCCAATAAAATCCTAACGGTTAATTCAAGATGGCGGTGCAGTGTTGCCAGATGTGTTAAAAGCTGAAAATGTTATTGCTAATGCACTTAAAAATTAATTTTAAACTGAAACTTGTATATAAAATAAATAAATAAAAAACAAATTTTAAAAATAGGTAAAAAATAAACTGAGTTGGCTGATATTAAAGTCTTCCATAGGATTTTCCCTAACATTATTGTATATGAACATTAAAATATAGTAAGATAAACTAATGTTTAAAAAATACATTTAAAAAATGAAAACATTCAATAATAAAACTTTTTTGTTTAATCCATACAGAATATTTTTAATAATAATAAAAATAAATTTTAACTTTTTTGTCAAACTTATAGTGTAAAGTTTGCGCCTAACAGCCCAATATAAAAGTTAACAGCACAAAATGCAATGTTAAGACAACTTGGCGCCTTACAGCTCGCTGTTACACCAAAAAGCTCATGTAAAATCTGGCGCCAAATTTGAAATACTCCCCAAGTTAAACACGAACGCCATTAACAATTTTACTCATTTAAGTTTTTATTGATTTTATTTCACTGCTGCACTTGTCATAAATATACAATTGGGTATATCTCAACATTTACAAAGTTACGCAAGTTTCGTTTGTGATTTTTTTTGTTTCGTAGTTTTTTTTTGTAGTTTCAAACATTTATTTAAATTTATGAATTCGAATTCATTGATAATATGTATGCATAGTTTAATTTTCCTCTCCTCCATTTTATGCTTATTACAATTACAAAAAAAAAACAATTACCTAGATGTAGTTATATATATATATATTTATATATATTTGTGTGTAGCATATTATGTCGTATTAAGTACATATTTTGTAATTTTTCTAAGCTTGATTTACGTATAAAATGTGTCTTGATTAGGTATGGGTATTGCGGATTATGTAGTTGCGTTCTGGGACTCCCTGCTTACACACATAAAAAAGGGGAATTTCTCTATTTATTCAGACATTAAGAAAGTGTAGTTTCGAATATATCGAAAATTAAGAAGAGGGTGTTGTGCGATGACCACATTTATTGACCGGGTTGGTAATAATGAAATAGGGAATTTACATTTAAGAACCATTTAAAGTTTTTCTTTATAAAAATAAATACTAACGGTATTTATGCATTTTTATAAAATGTTCAACATGTACGAAAGAGTAATAAATACTTAAAGTAAATATATAGTATCTTGATAAAATCAATTGAAATATGCATTCAATTCGAAATCACTTAAAAAAGTGAATAAAAGCATGCAATAACTCATTTAAAACTTTTTACAGCATACTTTTAGACACCAATTTATTTGCTTTTGAAATCCCTTGATTTCAATCAATATGTATGATCACCTCACCTCTCCCAAATGGTTTTTATCCTTCCTTTCAGCTGTTCAATTCCCTTGGAATATGATAGCTTTTTGTATTTTCTGTTTATTACGGGTTCGTATTTTCCACTACATTGACTAGTAATCTTTTTATGGGGGCTTCTGTTTACAATCGGTTGATCTGCTTAGGAGCTATGGAAATGTATCTTCGCCACGGCTACAATATATAGTATTTACAGTGATAGTTCGACTTATGCTACGATCTTTTTGCTGGTCCAACGGGACACCGTTTTTTTCTTCTTATTTTGGGGGAAAGTTTCCCTTGCATACACACACACACTTACATCATATACACCCGCTCAATTTTTGGGGGGTCAGGAAAAAAAACAAAAAAAATACTCATTACACTTTACACACTATACCGATTCGATCTAGGGTTTTAGGACTATGTCTAAGGCTAATAGCTAACTAATACTGATCCGTCGATTAAATACTTTCGTCGTTGGCGTTTTTAGATGCGATCCCTGTCCACCTGCGTCTCCTGGAGTTCCAGTTCCGTTTCCTCGGCGAGTGTATAGACCCCGGAGGCGTTGGCCCCGGTGGGCGTGGTCAGGACATCGAGGAGCGGACTGCTCAACGAAGAGTAGCCCAATCCCGGATCGCTACCGTGGGCAATGCAGCTATTGCCTGGCGTGGTGACCTCACCCGAACCGGGGATTACCGATCCGGATATAACCGCCGAAGAGGAGGCGGGCGTGTAGGCGGGGGCGGGGGCGGGTGCCAAGCGGGCGCCATTCGGATCCATTGTCAGGATGGGCACCAGCTCGTGGTTTACATAGTCCTTCAGTACCAGCGATGTGGGAGTGTCTGTGAAGGGGAGAATTCATTTTTATAATCCATTCATTTTCCAAGTAAGTCTAATTGGTCCGTCGAGCCGGATCTTTTAGTTTTTAAGCATTCCCTTATTCAGTAGTGTAAGGTTGTGCAGCTTCTTAGCAGCGTGATCTTTTATTTCAATAATTAGTTCTTAAGAAATCGAACAAAATCCGGCTCGAAGGACCAAGTGATATAAAAGAAGGCTAATATTGTACATTTTACTTATATCGATTAATTGCCTCAATTTCAATCATTTCTCACCTGTCACCAGGGTCTCTTCGGTGGGGTTGCGCTGGTAGAGATGCCCTCGCTTCTCGTAGTGTCAAGATGCCGGCACATAGTACTGGCCGCCCTCGTCGTGCGCCACATCCATCATCGATCCACCGGGCCCACCTGCACCACTGGCACCACCAGACACACTGCCGCCACCAATTAAACCACCGCTCGAGTTCGCTGCACTCGTCTTCTTGAACTCCACCACAATGCGAATCCGATGGACGATCTCCTCGTGGATAACATTGAAGCACATGGCCGTCAGGGTCATGCCCGACATTATGTAGACCGAACAAAACCAGGTGGTGGCATTCGATTCCCTGCGCAAACCGGGCAACATATCGCCAAAACCAATGGTGGACAGGCTCATGAAGCAGAAGTATATGCCATCTAGGATGGGCCAATTCTCCAGGCGATACAAGACGGCGGCGCCGAAGACAATATAGATGATCATCATCGAGAAGCAGAGAAGGATGGGGGCCAAGATACTCAAGCCGTGCATAGAGCCCCTCGATTCGCTGGCACTTAGGGAATCTATATCCCCCAAGCCACCTACCGATCCTCCTCCAGCATTCGGAGGCGGAGCTCCGCCGGCCACCCCATCCTTTTCGGGCGTGGCATGAAAGACATCCCTCACATAATACGGCTCCTGCATCACGGCCTGTTGCTTACGTAACTCCTCCTGCTGCCTCTTCCGTCGCATCCGTCGCTCCTTTTCGGCCATTCGCTTCTCGTCGTAGCAACAATAGCCACAATTCGAGCAGAGGCAACAGCACAGGGCCTTCGAGAAGACCTCGCGGGCCACCCGGGCCAAAATGCTGCCCGTGCTGCTCAGGTAGACCAAGGTCAATGGGATGCCGAAGAAGGCGTACGCCAGGGTCACGATCCTCCCGAGAGTCGTACGCGGTGCCACGTTTCCATAGCCTGAGGGGTTGGAAAAGAAAGTCATTAAGTTTCAATGCAGTCAATAAATCGCAATGTTCACATTTAACATTGAGTTATCCCTTGAGTTTTCCCGAAAAAATCTAAGCCAAAATCATCCGGCTCGAAGGACCATTTTTGATGAAATCCTGAGTTTCTTTCTTTATAGTATTTGATATGTAGTCACCACGTTATTTATTTCATTTAATTAAATTATCCATTAACTCCCTTTCTGGTATTTATATAAAAGTCCCTACTTATTATATGGTTATTAAAAGATTTTCCTCCGGCGAAAAAATGTCCATTAACAATTTCCTTTCTTGTTTTTTTTTATTTTACCACATTAATTTGCCAGAAGTCAATTTGTGCGACTCCCCCGAGAGATCCGACTTATTGACATTACCCAAATGAGCCGTAACTTCACATATAAGCTCGGTGAGCCACCCCACTCAGTGTATTTTCCCCACTCTTCTCCTTTTTTTTCTCATTTTTCCCCATGTTGTAAAGGGCCCCGAAAATAATTAAGCTGGCAGAGGCAATAAAAATGCTTAACAAGCTTAAGGCCGGAAATTCCCTAAGGAAGGTTAAAAAAGGACGTGGGGGCGGGGGTACAATTGAGCTGGTGGGCGTGGCACCCACAGATACACACACACACCCACACGCAATCGTCGGCAGGTGTGTCATGCATAAATTTGAAAATTTCTTAATTTTATTGTTTTCTTTTACTCTTATTTCACTTTTGGCGGTTTTTGTGATATATATTTTTATTTACACGTGGGCGTGGTTTATTGGCTGCCGCGTCTTCTATTTTTTTATATTGAACAAATGTTGCCTCAGAGGGAAGTGAGTCATTTGAGATTGAAAGGAAGCTGTGGGAGCAAATGAATCGAATCAATATGCGGGTATCACATGTGGCAGGGCTCAAGTGCCTGCGGCCTCTGTCTCTTCAAGGGCGACATTTTCGGCGGATAAGTGCACAGAAAGAAAATATTAAACTAATCTTTACTCCCAATTCAAAATTGTCACCAAATTAATATCACAATTCTTGAGAATTTCAAACCTTTTCTTATTTTAAAATGTATGATTTTTTAAAATTATTACAATAACCTGATTTTGACATAAACCCATATAGACAAAAGCCTATGGTCCTACTTTTTTCTCAGTGATTGGGGGGTGTTGTTCACTTAAAATCAACAACGGTGACTGAAACAGGAAGCGGATTTCCAAGTGCTTGGTAACCATGTAATTGCGTTGACAGCAAATTTAAATGAAATCCCATATCCCCCTTTGCACATGGCTAAAATGTCAATGTGTCACAAAGCAGACGACAGCTCAGCATCCCCCCAAAAATACCCCCCACCGATATATCCACATCCTTTTTACCCATCCCCGCACAGTGGGCCATTGTTGTGTTTGGGGGTTGAGGGCATAAATCAATCTATGGCAAGATATTCGGCTACATTGTGCTGATTTATTTGCACCACTGTGCTCGGAATCTAGCAAAAGCCCCCCTTAAGTCACAGTTCCCCCCCCACCCATGGCTAATAATATTGCCATTGACCCGACTCGAGGGGGCTGTAAAACTCAGCTGCCGCCCTGTCAATTTGCTGGGATATCAGGGAACTCAGGGATAACGAGGGCATCTACATATTTTATTGAAAGATATTGAAAGATTTCAATTTTGAGGAGGCAAGAGGAGGGAATCAAACATTAGTGTACTGAATACTCGGCAAGCGAGATCTATGAAATCTATATCTATGGATAACCTATCAGAAAAAAGAACTACTTATTACCAGATTTATTAAATAAGTTCATTTCCCCACGAAATAATTCAACCTATGTTTTTTTTCCATTATCGATTATCAATATCAAAGGGATATTTATCGAAATAATCGAAAGCTCTAATAACAACGCGCTAAGGCCACTAAAAGCCAAGCACCCACATAATTTTACCTATTACTATGCCGCTCACAAAGTTGACTTTGTTTCCATTACAACTCCGCTTACAAAGTTCAATTTGCCGACTATGTTTGGCCATTTGGTTCACTTCCGATAGGTAGTTATCGATTATGCAAATAAATCGCTGTGAACGTTTATGGGCTTTGATTACTGATTAGGGATGGGGCACTAAGCCGATAGGCGAGTGAATTATTTATCGAAAATGCGTGTGTGGGCAAGTAAATACAATTACCCGGTCGCAGCTTAAACACACACTCCCGCCATAAACAACTAGACCTAATCTGCCTCCGACTTCGACTTCCACCAGGGTTTATCCAATCCCCCCCACCCCCGCATCCCCCGCTCATTGAGGCCCATTTATATATCGATGGTCCTTCGGTTATGCCCACACATAACACAAAATGGCGGAGCATAAAACGGAATCGCAGGGCCCCAAAGATGCGCAATTGATGATAGTGAATGTGGAAATGGAGCCTCAGTTTCCTCTGCCTCAGTTTCAGTTTCATTCACATTCACATTCTGTGCGCTTGTGAAAATGGAAAATGAAATTTAAAATTATTTTGCAACTAAATTACTTGTCTTATTGCTGTCCAGGGGTTTGGCCGATCCCGATCCGGGGTCCTATTTATTGCGCCAGCGACAGCAGAAGGAATCTCGAGGAGCGGAAGGAGCAGGCTGCCTATAAATTCGCATTTATGCCCAAGACAATCATAGAACTCACGCCAAGAACAAGGATGTGGATGGCTGAAGTCGGCTCAACTTGGAGATACCCTCGAATTTTTCATTGTATACATTTTGTTTTTACTTATATGTATGTTTGATATAAAATAAATGAATTTTTTATTATCATAAAGAAAATGAATATAACAAATTTTACTTCATAAAATAAAGGTTCCGAAGAATTCGCGTATCTGTATTTGTATTATAACCAAAGATTGTATATTTGGAATAAAATGATAAATAATTAAAATTAATAAGAATTACTTTTTTAAGTGGTTTAGTATATGGAAAGTCCCAAAAAAAAGATTCTTAAAATGTTTCAGTACCCTTCTTAATTTTTTAAGTCTGTTTTCTTTATATAACTTTAAGCTGTTAATATTGTACCTAAATTAAATAGTCTTAAGCTTGTTACAATAAGAAATAATGCCTCCAAGTCTAACCAGTTTTTATTGTTTCCTCTGTTTTTCATATAAAAAGAGATAATATTGAGCCCAAAAACCCTGGGAACTTTAGAACCAAGTACATTATAGAGTATCGGTGCTTGGAACATGGCACTGCATTCAATTGCTCGAGTGGCTTGGTCCTTTGGCCAGAAGCACGGACCAATAATCATAATCATATTGTTCGGGCTGCCCGTCCAAGAACAATGAAGACCTGCTGCCTGCCCCTCTTTTTGCTGGCCAAAAAAAAAATAAGCACAACCCACAAAAACAATAATAATAATAATAATAAGCAAGGACAAGGACAAGGAGTGGGTGGGTGGTTCTTTGTTTTGGGCAGGATGTCATGTTAATACAAATGTCCCGGCAGTCTGCTGACTAACGCAATTGCAAACTGCCCCGCCCCCTAAGCCACACGCCCCTCCCCCTTCTCCCCCATTTTTATGCACATTTGCAGGGGCGTGGAGTAATGATGGTTGGGGGGGGGTTGGTTCGTTTTTCTGGTCCTATATTTGCTTTCTGGCCTCTTGGCATTGGCATAAACTGCCAAGATCAGCAGAAAATTTTTGCAAATTTTATTTTATAGCATTTTCACAAGTGGAAAGTCGTGTCGATGTATCCTTGCATATATATACGGATATAAAACCCTGGAATGTGTGTGTATATGTGTGTGTCTTGGCCATTCGGGCTAAGCAAATAGCTTCGTTTGTTGTTTTGCTCTATCAATATTTGACTTTCGGCTTGGTTTTTTGTCTCCTTCCCAAATTTTTTTTTGCCTACGAAATTACTGAGGAAAAAACGCACACGGCATTTTCCTGGGAAATCTAACAACTGGCTACACACACACACACAGAGCCCAGGAAAAATCCGAAGGAAAAGGTGCGGATAGATGGATGTTTGGGGCTTAAAAGTTTTGGCCCTCCACAAACCAATATTTAAAATTGGCCAGGACCCTTTAGAAGGACCTGGAGATTTTCGGGGGTCCTGCTGCTGACAAATGCCAATTGAGAAATCCTCGACAGAGTCAGCAGTCGAAGTCTTATCGAATTAGTTTCGGTAATTGAAAGGACAGAGCTGGAAATCTATATCACAGACGATGTTGAATGGGCAACGATTTAAAACTGGATGCTTGAGAAATTGCCAGGAAAAACAATCATATACATTTAAGCAAAATTATTCGTACTTGAATATTCTAATATTTTTCCAAATGGAATATAATATTTTCCATCTTCTTTTAAATATTTTAATAAAGCTAATGTTATACTAATGTAATACTAAATTTGAAATAATTATTTTACATAATATTTTTGTTGGCCTTCAACTTTTAAAAGGTATCTGCATTTTAAGATGGCAATTTCAGCAAAAAGCTTGCATGTGCATCCATTAATTTCGCTATCTTTGTTTTTTCGATAGACACCTGTAATCCCTTCGATAAATAATCGTTGTCTGGGGACGATAACACTTTAAGCCCGCTTCCGGTATGCACATCAATCAATTACCACTGCAGTTCTTATGGCACGAATTACTCTGGCTTCGTTGTTCAACCTGCATCATGGATGTGACCATGGGATCGCATCATCATCAAGCCCCCCTTTTCACGGCCCCTTCCCCTCTCACCATCCTTAGCAGCCACATTTATAGACCCCCTTAGCCCCCATTTAGCCCCCGTTTTTTGACCACTCCGCTATTCCCTTTTTGTTGCCATCAGCAACAGCAGTTGGTTCGGCCCCAAATGCACTCATGCGATGGTGTCAAAAGGTGTACGGGTCATGCCCATAGCCCTCATAACGCCCCAGTCCCATTTTCCCATTTTATACACTGAGAAAAATACACTCTTTAAAAAAACTCTTAGGATATGTTACCCCTTGAAATTATTTATGAGGTTTAATTCATTTAATTTAGTTTAAATGGAAATATGTGTATTTTTTTAAATTATATTTAAACCTTTTTTTAATCAAATGTTTTTAAATAAATTAAAAAAATGTTTATAAACCATATAATTTTGTTTGTAATATGGGAATATATGTACGATTGGTAGGTTTGGCATATAAAAACCAAATGTAACATTGATAAACTTTCGAAACTTAATTTTTGAATGATTGTGGTATAATCTAATCCCAACTTTAAGAACTTATTTTTTTGCAGTGTACTACCCCCTTTTAGGCGCTATTGCCTTTGGTATCCTGCAAACAAGGGCGCACTCGCCATTCAAGTAAAACAAATTTCCGTTGGTGGAACATCAAATTTATGGCCCACAGTCCCGGCATTGGGGAAAAATGGAGAGTGGCGAACTTGGGTGGGGGGCATTGTTTCTATCGCCCTTTTGGGGACGGGGGTACCTCAAACCCCTCTTAGCACCCCCTCGTTGTGTCTGCAAAGGCAGAAGGCCACTGGCACTTACCAATTGTGGTCAAAACGGTCAGCGAATACAAAAACGCTTTGGCAAAATTCCACTCATGCGGCGGTCCCCCGCCCACTGCCACGCCCCCAACGCCCCCAACGCCTCCGGCGCGATGATGGTGATAGTGTGTGTGAAGGAGCACGGCTTCCGTGGCCGGATTGTTGCTCCCCGGAACACCAGAGGCGCCCGCCGACGACGATGAGGAGGGGGCGTTGGCCACATCGTCGTGCGATAATTGCAGCATAACATCCTCGTTCAGTCTCTTGATTAATTGGTCTTGAAACTTGGCTATTTCAAGTGCGGCTAATCTGTGGGAGAGACAGAGACGGAGAAGGAGAAAGAGAGAGAGAGGGAGAAGGGTATATGAGTCACACGGGGAAATCAATATGAGATCAAGTATACGCCCAGGTTGCTTACATCAAGTATACGCACAGTGGAACAAGTGCAGTGAAATGAAACCATACTATATTTCAAAAACGTGTGGTGTAATGTATATATAAGATTTTTTAAAATTACTATTTTTAAAAGCTATTGGCAAAATATTGTTAAAAATCGAATATTTAAAAAACATGTATATTATAATCACTTTACATTTTTAACCCTCAATCCTTAACCCTTAAAAATACTGACTTACTTTTTTGTATTCATTAAAATGATCATTTTATTTGATATGATATTTTTTTTTTTGGTAAGGCCATCTATGGCTACTCACTTTGTCCAGTTCTCCTTATAGAGGATGTTGAGCGAGACGGTGATGTCCCAGATATTCTCGATGGTCCGCTGCCGCACATCGTAGGTGTCCGGCGAGAGGGCGAACTGGGGCATTCCGGCCGCCTCCAAATCGGCGGCATCCAGGCCGTCCATGCCGTAAACAAAGTCGCCACTGGATGCGGGCCCAAAGGGATTGGGGCCGCCGGCATTCGCATTTCCGGCCAGCATTCCCTGGGCGGCAACGGCGGCGGCGGCGGCGGCCACCGTGTCATTGTCAGCATGACGTCCTTGTACCGCCTGATGCTGCTGCTGCTGCTGCTGATGCTGCTGCGGTGTCCTTTGCTGATAGATGCTGTTCCCGATCCCGAGGCCAGCCAAATTGCGCTTGGTGCTGGCCAGAGTGTGCTGCTGATGCAGCAGGGCCGAGTCCTCGTTCTCGATGGTCAGGAAGATGAAGGAGCCTGCAACGAGTCGGCGAACAAAAGGCAAAAATCAGCAAAGCCACACTGGGAGAAAAATGTTTGCCTTAAAAATACTTAGTATTTAAAAAATGGTTAAAAGGACTTTTAATTTAGAGGGAAATCCTTGAAATCACTTAAAAAGCTGTCTAAAAGTATGCCATGGAAATAAAAACAAGGGAATCATCGGTTTTAAAAATATTGTTGCCTACTTTTAGGCATATTTACAAGTGTTTTCATTTTAAATGCACTAAATTTGTTTTCTGTGCACATCATGTGGTCCATCTCAAATCTCCAGCAAAATATGAACTCAACGGTAACTCATTTGTTTGCCAAAGGCAAAAGGCAAAAAGGATGCAGATGCAACCCGAGGAAGAAGGTGGCTCTTGGGTCATAAAGCATCTTGAAGGTGTTGCAATCGGTCTGAGCCAGCTTAAGGGCTTCCTGTTTCTACCACACTGTTGGCAGAAGGGGATTCTCTAGCTCTGAACAAACCATAATTTATGGGGGATTTTAAACCAAAATGCTCTGGAGTTACCAGAAACATTTAATCAATGAAGCAAATTAAACACTTTAGTGAGTTAAGTTATTCAATCGAACACCTAATGGCCTAATTCTCTTAAAATATTAAAATGTTACCCATTTAAGCATTGTATTTTGTATTTGTAAGTATTCAAGCCGAAAAAAGGAACCAAAACAGCACTTCTAGAGCCCATAACTTATTGTTTTCTTATTTTAGATCAGCGTAACTCTAAGAAATTGTGCTTTAAGCATCTTAAAACTGCATTATAACTACATAATCCTTTAATTTTCATAGAAATCATCAAATTTTCTTAAAGAGTTCAAAGGGAAACTGTCAGAATCATGGTTAAAGAGCTTTTGCTTATCTTTAAAATACCTATATTATTGATTGTAAGACTTTAATCGTTCTTCTTAAAGCACCCAGAAAGTTTTCAGGACACCATCCCCATTCAAATTCATCCCTTTTCCTGGTTTTTGGCACCAATCGATACTATTCCCACGGCCCTTGTTTCGGGACCTTTGGGGCCATCCGTGTTGATTCCTGTCACTCATTTAATGTTAATGCTCGCCAACTAACACACACACAGTCTAATGTCACATGTGACACATTTTGTCAAGTTTTTGAAAAGTTTTCGCCTGCCTTCGACAAAGTTTCCATTTTCCTTCTTTTTTTTTCCTTGGCTGAGAATGAGTATGTGGAATGATGAGTTGATGTCCTCGCCAAAAGCCAACACATGTCAGGGTGGAAAAAATAATACACGATGGATGGCGGAAAATCGGATCGGGAAATGCCAAGATGATGGGCCGGACATAAAGCTGAAGTACCACTGACACATGTTCGTGGCTGGCTCTTTTTTTATTTTTATTTTCATTTTCCTGGAACAACCTGACATGGGATTTATTGAGCGGGAAACGCATTGGTAATTATGTATTTGTCAAAGCAATTTTTTATAGTTCTGTCGGTTATTTCATGCCATCGTTTAACTTGTCTGTCAGCAGCAATCAGTACTTGAGTTTCAAACGAGGTAATGATTTCGTTTTTCTTTTACCTTCTGTCATTGATATCGTTTTACGGACTGTCAATTTGAATGGGTAAATATATAATTAAATTGGAAAGCTGATTACAGCGCTTATTAGTGTATGAAATTTTAAGTTCTTTAAAATACTTAGCTGATTGCCCAATCAATATTATTGCTTTTATAGTTATCTTGTTTTCAATTAATTGTTAAAATATAAAATCTATTGCAGATATATGTTTTATTTTTAATTAATTCAGAACCTCTATATAAATATTTGAAATTCCTATAGTTTCTTAAATTTTATTAGAGGTTAGAGCTTAGGTTGGTCCTTTTCAGTGAAGCTTTAACTTTAATAGACCTATTAGACCAACTTGTAACTTCCGTTGAAGCATGAAAATGGGTTGGGGAAAAAGTGTGGAAAATTCATTTATCACGTGTGTATGTGTGTGTATGTCCTGTGTGACGTCACCGGTCTCACGCATGGCCTAGCGAAAGTTAAATAATTGTTTGTGTCGTTTTGATGATTTCCTCCTAACAAGGGACAACTTTTTCGCCCAGCTGTCGCTCGCACACACACACAAGTGTGAATTTTTTGATTTGTTTAAAGTATTTCCATAGGCACATGTGTGTGGTGTGCGATTCCATGTTGCTGCTGTTGTGATGTTGCTGCTGTTGTGCCGATGTTGCTGCCGTGCTGATGTTGCTGTTGTGTCTCCTACCATCGCTTGTCAAAGCAGCCGTCACCATCGGAGATGCGGGGAGAAAGGGGCAGAGAAATGGAGAGAGAGACGCATTTCCGGTTAAGGAGAATGGGAATGAGAATGTGACGGAGTCCGCGTCAAGTGTCGCCTTTTGGTTTTCTAATACTCGCTCATAAACATGACAGCGCCTAAAAGTATGCCAATCTCTTTGTAGGCAAAGACTCAGGAGGTTACAGTACACCTCCGTGTTATGTGGAGAAAATCTCGCAGCTCTTTTGATAACAAATAATAAAAACAAAACCAAATAAAAATGTAATAATAAAAGGTTATAAGTATTTGGTACTACAAATAAATTAATGGTTTTTTACGTTATATTGTACCTTTACAACAGTTTTAGGTATATTAAAGACGGTTTTTTTAAATTTAAATACAAATAAATGTAATATAACATTGAAGAACCTCAAACTTTTAGCTGGAAAATATTTTGTTGCATACTTTTAGACACCTGCATATGGAATTTTATAAAAATGCTGAACTCTAGTGATCACTGTACCGCAAATACACACAAGTGGGGTGAAACATAAGTTTTGGGGCTGCGACCAACATTTTGACATTTGTTTTTGGCATCGAAAGTAGGGGGAGGCAGTGGGTGAGGGTGGGAATGAAAAGGGGGCGGTGGTGGTGGCGAATGATTAATTAAATTTATCACGTTGTCGTGCGGCGGCTTTGGTGGCGTTCCACCCAGTTCCTGTTGTTGGTTAATTTAAACGTCGAACTCTGTGACAAGATACATTAAGCATCCTTGTATCGTCCTTGTTCCGGGGAACAGTAACGGTATCCACTAGTGTAAGCCCATCTGTATCTGCATTTGCCTCTGTAGCTGTAACTGTATCCTGTATCTGTATCTGTATCTTTATCATGTATCTGTATCTGTATATGACACACGCGCCGCAAAAAGAGCAGATGAGATGAACGCGTGGCCGAAAGAAGATGCCGCGTTAATTAGGGCGGCCGCAACAATGAAATGTTGAACTGGCAACAACAGACAGTGGATACAAATGATATGTGAGAGCCTGTCACGCACAGTGCCGTCAATTTGGCTACTTAGCCCCAGGAAATTTATGCATTTATGTCCTTTAAAGCCACTGAAATTGAGTCAATTTACTAGTTCTTAGAAACGAGTTTGATAAAAAGAAAACGCTGCATGGCTAAAGTTTCCTTAGGCTATGTAAATGATAAGATTTCGATCTGAAACCCCTAGATATAACTCAAATTATAATAGGATTTTAAATAAGCTGAGATGTTCTTATATATTTAATGGGGAATATATTGTTCCTAAGTCTTTTTCCTTAATTTAACACTTAGTTTGGCTTAAATATTTCTTTTTTTATCAAATAGTTCCCTATGAATTTTCGTAACCCATTTATTTTATGTATGTAAGTAAAGTAAATTTACTAACATTTTTTCTACATTTTGCAAAAAAATACTTTTTGAGTGAAAAAGTTCTTGAAACAGTGGTATTTTTTTCCAAAAGTATTTTATTACAATGAAACTTTTACTTTTTAGTTACGATTTGCTTCGATTCTTCTTCGACTGTATAAAAAGCGATCCACCCTTACCGAGGGCCAATTTTAAATTGAAAAGTAAATCGAATTAAATCCACGTCACAGGCAACTATTTGAATTAAATTCGTTTGTTAATTTATTGAATTAATTAGGCTAACTTAATTTGGATTTCCCTTGCTTACCCAGCAGTGTGTAGGCGAGCAGCAGCATGCAGATGCCCAGGTTGGTGAGCAGGGCGGACCACACCGTCTGCGAGGTGGCCTTGCGATTCTTCTTCTTCTCCTTGCTTCCGTATCCGGGTGGTGTCTTTCCGGTTTCCCCGGAGCCACCACTACCACCACTGGCACCGCCCCCCGAGGCGCCACCCCCTCCCCCCGAGCTGAAACAGGAGCACCATCCCTGCCGCTTGCGTTGTTGCCTTTGGTGTTGCTGCTGCTGTTGCTGCTGTTGCTGCTGCTGCTGCTGTTGGTGTTGCTGCTGCAATTGGTGTTGCACCTGCGCTTGGGCTTGTATGGAAGCCGCCTGCGGATGGGCGGGCGTCAGCGGTTCCTTGCGGCTGGGGGGCGTGGCCATCAGCTGCAGGGGCAACAGCTTCGCATTGCTTTTCAGCGTACCGCAATTGCTGCCACTGTTGTTGCTCATATTGCCGCTGCTAATGTTGCTGTTGTTGCTGCCGGCGGTACTGCTGGCAATCGAGGTCAGCGGCGGCGGGGGATGGGGCAGCGACAGGGGGAGGGGCAGGGGCAGCGGCGGTGCCATCATGTCGCTCACATAGCCCGCCGTGGGGTACTTCAAAATGCCTGGCGGCGCCATTGAAGTTTGGGCCAAGGACACGACCACCTGGAAAAGTTGCAAAAAGTTAGTAAAAACTATATTTTATACAGGCATATGGTTTTATGTATGATATAAATTTAATATAGTGTATTTTACCAAAGCTACAACGAATTTAAGTCTATTTTTTTCAACTAAAATTTATATTGAAACAAGAGTTTTTTATAAAGGGTATATTTTTAGGCCTGGTTAAAGTGAATATAGGGCTGATTTGATTTAATCTGGCATAAAAGAAAATAATTTGCTTTTAAAAAAATAAAACCAAATGAGTTTAATGGTTCTACATTTTATTTTAAAGCAGATATAAAATAAAATGTAGAACCATTAAAATCATTGTCATCTAAATATAGATATAAAAGTGGGCCCTTTTTTTTAAGGACATCGGTACTTAAGGAATACAGTTTAATATAAAAATCTAAAATGAAAAACCGAAATTTGGGGGTGATTCGTAGATTCGCACTAAGAAAGGATTTTAGGATATTCACCCCCAAAGTGCCCCAAAAAAAGGTCTTTCCCTGCAAATATAACCTTCGATATAATGTCTTTTTCAAGGACAACTCACCTGACCGCCTTGGCCGCCCGACTGGTTGGCCACCTCAATGTCCTCCAGCGTGGGCATGGGCAGAAGGGGCGTGGTCTTGAAGGTCGTGGTCGCGGGGGGCGGGGCGGGCAGGAGGAGCGGGGGCAGCTGGGCGGGCGACATGCTGGGCAGGATGCCGATGGACACATAGTTGCCGGCCGTACCGCCGGCGGACGATGTGGGCGGAATTCCCATACCGCCGCCATAGTGGGCGGCCATGGAGCCGGTGGGCGGGGCAGCGGTGACGCCGGAGACGGCGATTGTGTGGGCGGTCAGCTGCGAGGGGGGCGGAGGCGGCGCCCCAGTTTGCATTGGCATCGGTTGATCCGGATTCATCTTGCATTTGGTCGCTGTTTTGCCCGCTGTCCTTGCCTCGCAGATCAATCAATCAATCAAGCTAAGGATTGAAGAAGAAAAATAAATTAGTAATGGATTTATTATCATACAAATCAAGCATCATAATATTTTTAAAAATATTTATATTGTAAATTGTACACATAGCTGTGGGCATAAGTTAACTTATAAAAACAACATAAACCTTTTGGCATTCAATTGGCCCGGTGCAACTTTTGTTTGAGCCACACACCTTAAGCCATTTAGCCCCGGCATTTCAAATTCCTTGACATAATTTTCTGCTAAAATAGGCAAATAGATACATTTGCGATAAACCGATTTGGTATTCCGGCTGGATGGCCTGGCAATCGCTTACAATTCCGGCCAAAATCCGCAAGTGCCGCAGATGAATATCGGTTCGGTTTGGCAATTGGGAATTTGGGAGTCCAGGGACTTTGGGCCTTTTGCCGGTGCCAATAGAAATGGAAACAGAAACAGAAACAGTTGAGTGCGGTTCATCAAAGCATTAATTAACAGGCACTAAAACACACATGGATGTCTGGAAATCAGAATGCTGAAGACATTCCCATTAATTTGCACAATTGAATGCTTTTCATTAAGTTGCAATTACTCGAAATTAATCGCTTTTGCCAAAATGCCAAAAACTGGTGGGTGGGTGAGGGCGTTGTTTGGTTGGTTGGTTTATGTGTCTGTTTAGCGGGCAAGTGGGCGGTTCAGTGGGTTCAGTGGGTGCAGCGATGGGGGTTTCCATGGGCAAAAGCCTAAGCGGCTTAGGCCCCATCATCGGCAACTCTGTCATCGTCGATTGAAGTTGGCATTGATTGAAACGCACGGGAGCGTGGAATTTGTTTAGTTTTCATTGCGATTCGCCGAAGTTTCCCCAACCAGAAAGGTGAAAAACTGAGGCCGATCATTAGCCTCTTCCCTCGAAAGATAAGCTTGGTTAAAAAAAGGAATCAGGAGCCGACACTCAGATTTTCAGTCAAATCAAGGCGGACAGCTAAAAGACCGACTGTTTTGAACAGCTAGCTTCCTATGCTAACGATCCCAATCACTTAGAGGACAATTTATTTTTTGACCAATTTTCGCATTTTTTGTAAGGTCTTTTTTTGCAAAAAATGACAAAAATTAAGAATTTTCAGGTTAGAATTCGAATAGATTGCAAATTGAACAACGAGCTCAACGAGGTATGACATTCCTCGATCTGACGTTTATTTTCTTTATAGCAGCAAAAAAACTGAATTTTTAGGGCGAAAAAATGGGATTCCGATTTTGGTCATAATTCATATTTTGAATATTCGACCCTACAAACTAATTTGATTTTAGTTTTATGATTTTCAAAATTTTCTTAAATGCAAATTCATTAGAGCAGCCGCCGACCAGGACGAGTCTGCCGAGTCTGCCGACTGAGTGCTGGGATCTCGAGAGCTGTTGGATTCGGTTCAGTTGGGGGCCAGCTGCTCTACTAATTCCAATGGCTTGTCACCGGAAAAAAAAACAGAAGCAGAGGCATCAGAAATAAGGCTACGGCAGCTGTGAACCTCAGACACAGAGGCGTCGTGTCAGCGCCGGGTGAAAGTGCAGCGTCAGGGGCTTTCCGTTCCCCTTTCACCCACTTTCTCCCAGCGGTGGCAGCATTTGGAAATTAAAAAGAACAGCAGCGGACCAGAAGAAGTCGAAGGAAATGTGCAATCTTAGGCCTGCACACATTGATGGATCAGATGGGATGGTACACATATCCAGCCTTTAAGGACACTCGGTACCTCTGAGTATTAGTGGTTTTTTTCAGCCTAGCGAAAATGGAATTTTAGTCAAAAATACGATTTAAATATCTATGTATTTTATCAGAAATGCCAAGAAAGTCCTAATGCTTCGATATTTTTGAAAATCAATAAAAACGCACCTTAAAAGTACTTTAAAAAATATTTTTGTTTCTTCTCATTTATATTTCCTTCTTGTTTGGTATAGTACTAAGACTAATTTACAATTACAATTAAAAGAGAATGTGGACTTTCCCGACTTAGAGACTACCCCCACCTCTCCCTATATATTAAGTGGTCCGTTACAAAACGAAGATCAAAATTATAACACTCCTCAATAAAGGATATGCAACTATCGATAGCTCAACGAATTGTCGTCGATTGCTGTCGTCCAAAAAGACTCATCTCTACAAGTTTGGCAGGGAACTGAAATATAAAAAATTACTCTGACTATAATGGTGAAAGTAAATAAGAATAAGTTGCCAAAGAAGAAGCGTGCACCCATGAAAGTGGAGGAGTCTAAGCCGAAAGAGGCACCTTCGAGGGAGTCGAAGTCGATGGAGGAATCTTCGGATGACTTTAAAAACGGATCCAAATCCGCTCCCACCAAGCCAGAGCCGAAGGAAAAGGACTTTAAGTTGCCAGTTCCCTCGGATGACAACGACGGCTCTACACCCGCTAGCACCAAGAACGGCATTATCTACATGTCCAATGTTCCCAAGCACTTGAAGGTGAAGCGCATGCGCAAAATCCTACGGAAGTTTGGAAAAATCGGAAAAATTATCCTGCAGCCAAGTGAGTGCCTCAAGAAGGTATTTTGATATAGAGCGCTTCCGTTTAATCTCGACTATGGGTTTTCGCAGGTGCCAAGGCCAAGAGAAACAAACGTAAGCGCATCCACTTCTACGAGGGCTGGGTGGAGTTCGAGTCGATGGAGATCGCCAAGTTCGTCGCCACCGCGCTGGGCAACTCCAGGATCTCCAAGCATAAGAGTTCAAGGTTCTACGACTCGCTGTGGAGCATGAAGTATCTTCATCGCTGCACGTGGGTGCACCTCGCCGAGCGCGGGAATTACCCGACGGAGGTCTCCCACGCCGGTCTCCCACGCCCGCAAGGAGACCACCTTCTTCCAGAACAATCTCGACGAGAGCAAGTCCCTCAAGAAGAAGGCCAAGAATTCTGAGAAGGCTGAAAATTCTGGGAAGGCTGCCAAGAAGAAGATGGCCCCTGGCGAGAGTGAGGACTGAGCCCCAGTTAGACTGACACTTCAATGATAAATTAAGCATCTGTAATTTAAAAAAATTCAATAACTTGCATTAAATAGACCGCTCGCCGATATCATAATATCTATAAGCCATCGTTTATTAATGTTTGGTGGTCTCACTCTTCTAGTATTTTAAAACCAAAAGATTTCACTCAAAAAATACTCTTTTTAGCAGTTTTTCAACCTTAGTTTGGCCAAATCAAGCCGTACAGCTAAAAGACCGACTGTTTTGAGCAGCTGACAACCTATGCTAACAATCCCCATTACTTTCCGGAAAATGTATTTCTTGACCAATTTTTTCATTTTTTGTAAGGGGGTAGCTCGGTTTTTTTTTTGATTAAGATTTTGGTCAAAAATTCTCATTTTTTAGTGGTTTTTCAGCCGTAGTTTAGCCAAATCAAGGAGTACAGCTAAAAGACCGACTGTTTTGAGCAGCTTGCTTCAATTCCTATCGATCCCTATCACTTTAAAGAAAATTTATTTTTTGACCCATTTTCGCATTTTTTGTAAGGGAGTAGCTCTGTTTTTTTGTGATACAGCTTTTTGTCCAAAATACTTATTTTTTAATGGTTTTTCAGTCGTAGTTTAGCCAAATCAAGGAATACAGCTAAAAGACCGACAGTTTTGAGCAGCTTGCTTCAATTCCTATCGATCCCTATCACTTTAAGGAAAATTTATTTTTTGACCCATTTTCGCATTTTTTGTAAGGGAGTAGCTCTGTTTTTTTTGGGATTCAGTTTTTGGTCAAAAATACTCATTTTTTAATGGTTTTTCAGTCGTAGTTTAGCCAAATCAAGGAGTACAGCTAAAAGACCGACTGTTTTGAGCAGCTTTTTTAATATGCAACAATCCTCATCATTTTTATTAAAATTTATTTTTTGACCAATTTTTTAATTTTTTGTAGGGATCATCATCTATTTCGCGAAAAATGGCAAAAATTAAATTAAATTAGGTTAGAATGCCAATCGATTGGAAATTAAGCAACGAGCTCAAAGATGTATGACATTCCCCGATGTGACGTTTATTTTTTTTATAGCAGCCAAAAAACGGAATTTTTATGGCGAAAAAATGGGATTTCGATTTTGGTCAAAAATACGAGATTCATTTTTTAGTCAAAAAAAAGATTTTCCTTCCAGTTTTTCAACAAGAAGAAGACTGAAAAGAAACCACCCACATGACCTTCCATTAAGATATATTTAACACCTAGTCTAACTAAATATCAAATGAAAAGAATTAATGTATAATCTTGTATACCAACACTTTGTTATCCCCTATATTTACAACCTGCTCAAGCTGCCACATAGGTAGCAGTATACCTGTTAATCCTGAATAAATATACACTTACAAAAAAAAAAAAAAAAAAGTTTTTCAATCGTAGTTTAGTCAAATCAAGGCGTACAGCCAAAAGACCGACTGTTTTGAGCAGCTTGCTAGCCATGCTAACGATCCCAATCAATTTAAGGAATATTAATTTTTGGACCCATTTTCGCATATTTTGTAGGGGGTGCATCGTGTTTTTTTGCGAAAAAAGCGAAAAGTTAAAAATTTCCAGGTTTGAATGCCAATGGATTGGAAATTAAACAAAGAGAACAACGATTTTAGATTTGATTTTCTTTTCTAAAATAATGTTTTCTAAGATTTTAACAACCTACTCCAAAAACAGTTGGGAAATCGAAATGGTTTCTGCCACGTAGATACCGTTTTAGGGACATGCGAAAGAAAACGCCTGGAGGCGGCACACAGACAAAAGGTGCGGCAATTAAGGATGCTCACAAGGACACAAGGGCATCCTGTTTGAAGGCGCTCCGCTTTTGTTTTTTATTCAGCCGTGCAGCATCCATCCTCGGTTTTCCGGCAATTTCCCTCACGGGTTTCCCCTGCCGAATAGCAAGGCGGTCAAAAGGCCGTCAAGTGGCTTAGACAAGTGTCGGGAAAACAAAGGGCGGAAAAACAACAAGAAGCCCTGGGAATTCAGTTCAAGTGCAGCCAATGTGTTGCGCATTTCGTATGCAAGTGGGCGGCGGAGTGGGCGTGTCGGGGGGCGTGGCCCCTTCAGACACCTCCCATTTTGGACAGGTGGAATCTCGGCCAAGGAGCAAACTTCAGCATGGGAAAGCACAAAGGGAATGAATCAAAAATCGCAATTGGCCAAGGTGAGAATATGCTGGAAAAACATGCGAAAGTTGTAGGGCAATCAAGCCGAATCGATGGGGAATTCACGAATCTTGATCAAGCAATTGTTTTGTTTATCGAAAAAACATGACAGAATATTATGTATCGTTTTAGCAATGTCTTTCAAACTTAGTCAGTGGAAAGTAGTGGTTCTTAATTTGTAACTAAATGTTTTCATTTTTTATATATTAACACGTTTAACTTTAACGATAAAGCTTTTAAAAATAAATTAAATATCTTAATTTATTATATCTTATTAACCTTAAATGATAAACCTTTTAAAAATAAGTTAAATATCTTAATTTATTATATAATCTAATTAACCAATATCCCGTAAGGCTAAACCTTTTAAAATTAAATAAATATCTTTATTTATTAAATATAAGCCCAATGAGCTTTAAAGGCAAACCTTTTAAAAATAAATAAAATATTTTAATTTATTATATATTCTAATTACCCAACAACCTTTAAAAGTGAACCTTTCCTTGTAGTTTTCCCTTATTGTTTGTATTGCATTTAATCTGTCGCAAACAGTGGGCCACAATTTTTTTTGCGACTTTAATTCCATTACACATGATTTGCGATGCAGCAACAAAACCGTTTTGCGGAAAATCCACACACACACACCCTATCTTCACCCCCCCCCCCCACAGTTTCACGATCGTAAAAGGTTTTTGGGTGGAAAATCGAGGGGATTAAGAATCATTTCCTGGTGCAGTTTTCCAGCCCGCGAAGGCTGAACATTAAATGCTCGCTCAAATGAGATGAAAACTGGTTTTTGGCCAGCGAGCGGCGAAATGCGGAGAAAGCTTCGAAGGACCGGCAGCAAAATCACTGGCCAGGCAAGTTGACCACAAAAAAGGGAAAGGGGGCGAAAACCAAGGGAAAGGCCTGCGGGGAAAAATCGAGGGGAGAAGACTTTTGGGCACAATATTTCAAACACGCGTCGAACGCATTTCCTGTGCGGAAAACGGTTACAGCGGAAATGCAACTTTGCCCGTTGTTCGAGCGTAACTGTTGTTTATGTTTGCCCACACACACACACCACACACGCACATTTACACACACTAACGCACACGCACACAAGCGTAACACTGTGGCCTCAGCCATCAACAAGAGAAAGCGGGAAAGGAGGTGAGAGAAAGGCGGGAGAAAGCGGCAGAGACCCGCATAAATTGCTTTTTTGGGCAACACTTTTTTTCCCCGTGTTCCGTTTTGTGAGGCTTTTGCCTTGGCTACACTCGGAAAAAAACGAGCAGAGGAGAAAGGTGCAGCAGTATATTACATAAAATAATTGAAACAATTATATGAACCTTAGAATAATAATTAAAACAAGGAAGAACGCTATAGTCGAGTACCTCGACTATCAGATACCCGTTACTCAAAGGGAAATGGAGATATGCAAGCAGCAAAGCGAGATTAAAATGCGCCACCTACCGGCGGTAGACAGATTTAAGCGTTATGGGCGTTAGAGTGGGCGTGGAAAATTTATTTTTGGATCAATCGATAGGTATTGACGACACCAATACATTTCAGTTAAAATTTCTTATCTAGCATGCAAATTGTGGGCGTCACAGGTTTTCGCGGTTTGTGGGCGTTTTAGTGGGCGTGGCAAACTTTTTTTTAGGTCAATCGATAGGTATTGTTGAGAACAATACATTTCAGTTAAAATTTTCTATCTAGCATCAAAACTGTAGGAGTTACAGTTTTGGGCGGTTTGTGGGCGTTAGAGTGGGCGTGGCAGTCTACTGAAACAAACTTGCGCTGCGTAAGAAGCTCAGGAATCTGTACGCCAAATCTCAATAGCCTAGCTCTCATAGTTTCCGAGATCTCAGCGTTCATCCGGACAGACAGACGGACAGACGGACAGACGGACAGACGGACAGACGGACAGACGGACATGGCTAGATCGACTCGGCTAGTGATCCTGATCAAGAATATATATACTTTATGGGGTCGGAAACGCTTCCTTCTGCCTGTTACATACTTTCCGACGAATCTAGTATACCCTTTTACTCTACGAGTAACGGGTATAATAAGGTATAATTAAGCATATGTTAAGTATGCAAGGCATTGATTTTTTAAATATGTAATATGTTCTCGAAATCTCTAATCCTAAACCCCTATGACTAAATATTTTCTATTCATTTAATTTGTTTTTTAAAGTTCTGATATTTTGATGTAATATAATTGACAATTTAATTTAAATATGTATATCTCTGCATAGAAATATTCTAAAAGATTTAAAGATGTTCGTATAATTTACTCTACAAGTTTTGAAATTTTAATTGAATATTTGTTTTAAAATAATTTAAGGTGCTCCAATTAACAAATTACAGTTTTATATAAGTCTCTTTAAATGGAAAAAGGTTAAACATTTATATTCAGAAAGTATTCTCTACACCTTTTGTAAACCTCTTTTTCTCACAAATTGGTAGGTTGCTACAATGTCCGCCTAATGTCTGTTGCCAGTTCGTTGTAGCCCCCCCCCCCAGATTTCTCATTTCCCAGCCCCGTTTTCTCCATTTTCCCCTGTCACTATTTTTTTCCGTTTGGGCTCTGCAATTTTTGGCATTCATTTTCTCGCCGTGCGTTGACAAAAGTCTCACGCAGTAAATTGAGATGGATGGATGGAGGAGTGGACAGCAGTGGGGAGTGTACGAGTATAAGGACTGGGCGGAATTGGGGGATCTGGGCAAATACCGGGGTACTTCCTCCAACTGAGCCAATAAGCCGGGCGGAGCAACATCTTGGGCCGAATGGGGAAACTGATTCCTTCAGTCGTCATTCCCTTTTCTCCCACTCTCGATT